TCTTTCATTCTCTTCCCAGGATTTGGGATACATTTGCACATGCACCTAGCATGATTTTCAAGCCATAAGGTCTGAGACTGAAACCATGCGGTTCACCTTGTGGAACCTAGCTGCCTTAACTTCCATGCCAATGCTGACCCCATGTACACACAGTTTATAATTTACCATGCCCACCTGCTTTGAAATTAAGTGATTCTTTTCTTCTTTTTAGAGGTTTATGCCTCAGGGCATGTATGCTAGCCAGAGGGAAACAGGGATGAAGACAATGAGAGGGAAAGTGAAAACATCCCTCAGGGGAGATGGCCACACCACAAACCCTTCTCATTCCATTCTCCTCCCGGGATCTTGTACATGAGCACAGAATGAGTTTCAAGCCACTGGATCCAGGCCTTGAACTGTGGTCGGCCATGTGGGAATCTGCATTATAACCACTATGCCATCTGTTTGCCCCAAAAGTAAGTGATTCTTAAAGAAATTTTTTAAATGGGGGAGACTTACATTACCATTTTTAGCATAAAACGCTATTTTGCATTATGTCAAATTCATGAAAATCTACTAAAGCTTAGCTTAACAGCAAGCATATTTTCCACTACTTTATTAAAGAATAATTTACATACCATAAAATCCCCCCATTTTAAATGTATAATTCAATGAGATTTAGGTGTTTTAGATTCTTGCCAGGCCCAGCTGTGCTAGGTTGTGCTGGTTGACACTGCTGCTTTGGCAGGTGAGGCCACATGGGAGGCCCGGGTTTGACTCCTAGTCCACCCTAAAAGCTGGGTGTTGGTGGTGTATATCTGCAGTTCCTGCAGCTCTGGAGAGTGAAGCAGGACAATGACAAGCTTGTGGCTATGTGTGCAAAAGGGCGAGATCTTGTACGAAAAAGCTGGGCATGCTGGCACGCACCTGTAGTGCTAGAGTTTCTGAGGGCTGACGTAGGAGGATTACAAAATGCCAAGACACAGCCTAAAAAAAAAAACGTAGGCAGAGCACCTCTTAGCCCAAGAATATACTTCCCCTTCCCAAAGGCCCATTCGAAGTGACAGAAACAAAAAAATTTAAAAATCAATAGAGAAAATAATATCGTGAAATGTAAAGAGTATCAGTGAACCAGAAATTTTAAAGATTATCCTGTAATAGGTGGATATAAGATCAGGTAGGTAGAATAGGAACCAAAAAACATAACCTCATATTCTAGAGCTAAAATGATAGTCTTAAGAGTGTCTCAGGGAAGTTTCAAATGGGGGCTATCAGGTGGCATGCTAGTTAGGGTGCTGGACCACAGTTGTTTGAGGCTTGCTTTCTCACTTTCCCTTTCTCTCTCTCTCTGGTTCCCTCCAGTCAAATTACAACAATAATAACAAGTAAAATGAAATAAAATAATTCTTAAAAAAAAAAAAAAAGTAAGGACTCTCTGTCCCTCTCCAACAAGCATAAACTCTCCCCGGCAAGTATATATGTCTTAGAGCAAATTAAAAAAATATATATATATATCCATTTATAGTTCCAAATTAGAAGAAATGGGAACCTAAAGCAGACCCTCTAGGGCAGTACCTGAGAAACTTTTATGTTTTTATTTTATTTTTTAAGAATTATTGTATTTAACTTTATTTATTTATTTACTTACTTAACTTACTTACATTTATCTAGAAAGGGACAGAGAGAGAGAGAGAGAGAAAGAGAGAGAGAGAGAAAGTGTGAAAGCAAGCCACCAGGTTCAGGACTTGAAATGTGGTCAGCCATGTGGGAGTTCAATGCCCTTAACCACCACGCCACCTGTCGGCTCCCTGAGAAACGTTTATGACGGGAAGAAATCAGAGTAGATCCCACCAACCTCTAAGAAAGGTACAGAAAAGAAGAGGAGCTTTGGGCATGCCACACAGAACCAAAGCTAGGGTATGTATTACACGACTAAAAGAACAAGATCTACACCCACACGATACCGATCAGGATGATCGTAATGCTGGAACAACAAGAAGATGGAAGAGC